TTTATGAATGACACTTTTCTACTACACTGGGGCGATGTCACTTCTGTAATATTGCACCTGCACAAGTTCCGGCTCAAACCTGAACTGGGGATTGTCAGGTGATTTGGTTTTTGTAGATATAAACTTCAATAGATATGCAAACAACAGGAAAACAGCTGTTGTGACTTCACATCTGCATTGCAGTATGTATATGAATCTATGTCCATCATGCAATGACCTTTATGTGAAATTGGTTTACTGATTGATGCCAGCTACACACACACACACACACACACACACACACGTGCACACACTCATCCCTGTGCATCCTGCCCATGAAAGTCACGAGCATCCAGTTCGAGAGCTGGAGCAGAGAGATTCAGAGCAAGTATTTCCAGCCTCACAGTCAGAGATAGCACTTTGCAGCAGCACATAATGTCTCATGAGGCATGCCAGGGTTTACTGGTTGCTATGTCAACTTCTGTGGAAGCCAGAGTCAGTCAGCAGTCTCCTTCGCTGTTCTTCATTGTTGTGCGGCCCAGCTGTATTTTCAGACGGCAGAGAAGACAAGCGTGAAACCCTGAAAGGATAAGGCTGGTGGCTGTGTACATTTTTTTCTAATGGTCAACAAATCCCAGGAAACCCATGAAACCTGTGACGCAGGATCAGATGTGTTTTAATCTGCATTATTAATCTGTGCATGTAAAAGACCCGGCACCACACTGAACGACACGAGACAAGAAATTACGAGATGTTTATTTCTTCTTGTTGTTCTTTCTGCAGTTTTCAGCAAACGTCACAACAGCAGTGCATTCTAAAAATTATTTGGAGACAGGCCGGTGCAGTTTAAGTATTTAGGGCAGGATGGTGAATGTGGGATTGACTCAAAATAAACTGCAGTTTTCACTGTAGTGAAGGAACACAACAGCCCGATTACCACTGTGACTACTGACACGTATATACACACAGATCCATAGTTGGTTTTCCGTTTTTCATTTTGTTTGTTTATCACATGTGAAATATAGATAACCTCCAGCCGGATCCTTTTCTTTTAAAAACACATTTACTGTTTACTGATTATTTACGCAGCTTATTCTCTTTTTTATTTTTCTGTTTGAAAGTATCTGCAAAACTATTCTGGGATAAACCTGCTTTAACTAATACACATATCATTTTCACACTAACTCTTTTCCTCTGTGGTGCTGAAGTGTTAGAAACCTCACATACCTTGAGATTCCTTTTTGTTCCCCTCTTTACTTCTTTTATATCTCCAACTCTTCTGTCTTTTTTCCCCTCGGGGTATGTGTGAGCGTGCATGTGCATGTGTGAATTTTTATAATGAGATGGCACTTTTAAAGGTCCACAGGATTTTCAATGAATACGTGAACACGCTAAATCTCGTGAAAACAAAAAAACTATTGAATTGACACAACAGAGATATTAGTACGTTGATTTGACAGTAAATCCTGTTCTCTACACCTTTAACTGTGTATCTCTTCTTCTAACTGACTCACCGGAAACACCACAGACCTCTTTGGCGCCACAGTGCACGCCTGTCTCGAGGTGTGCGGATGTTGTGTGTGTGTGTGTGTGTTTATCGGGGTTGTTCTCTGCTTTGCTTGGTGTTTTGGAGAGGAGGGTGTTTTCTCAGCCTCCTAACCCCTCCCACCCTGCTGTAGGGCCCAAAACCCCCCAATTCCTGGCGGCTCTAATGGGTCGGTCCGGATTTGGCAAACACAGGAGCTCCCCCCTACGGTGTGGTCGAGTGGTACAATCCAGCTCTAAAGGTGGGGACTGGTCTCAGGTAGGGTGGCTGTCAGTCATTGCCATGGAGACCACCTTTACCTGCGTTGTCACCGGCTCCACTCCCATTACCAACGATTCAACCAGTCTGACTGTGTGTGTGTGTGTGTGTGTGTGTGTGTGTGACACATTGCATGGCCTCCAGTTAAACCCACGAGGAGCCGCTGGGTTCACGTCTCATCAGGGTCACTGTCGTCAGTGCTGCTCCATCCATTTACTTCATCCGACTGGTTTTACTCAGTTTCCACTCCGCTCACACATGAATGTACCTGACAAGTTTGTCCAGACGTCACTCATGAGTCAAACATGCCAACTCTGCATGTCATGTCCTTTTCTTGTTGTGTCCTCAACTTTTTTTTCTGCTCCATCTCTTCCTTTTGCTTTTTATTATTCTCCACCTGTTCCCCCTCTTGCCTCCCTCCCTCTCTCCCTCCTTCTCTTCTGTTCCTCTCCACCTCCCTGTAGACATCAACGCTCAGGCTCGTAAGCTCCAGAGGAACAGGGCGAAGGGGACGCTGACACTGCCCCGATCCAGCAACTCATCCCTCTGCCGCAGCCTCAGTGAAACCAGCCTCAACCAGGTTGGGACTCCCCACAGAAGCTTAGTCGGGAAGATTGATTGTTATTATTAATGGGACTGTTATCAGCCTCATCCGCTTGTGTGTTCCTGTGTGTGCCTGTGTTTCCAGCTGGGAGTCGGAGATGAGCCCAAACGTTATTACTCTACTCTGCCCGGGCCCTTAAGAGGCCGAGAACGTGAGGTGGCCTCCAGCGGCCGGAGGAAAGAGGAGGGGAATCAGGGGGGAGGAGGGGTGAGGCACTCTCTCTACCAGTCGCCACATCTCCTCCTGCTGCAGGGATACAATCGCCAGGTGAAGACAGTGAAAGACATCCCTGTGTTTTCGCACCAGACGTCTCATGCGTCCGATCGTATTGTGGCATCAACTGTGTCATGTGTTGCAGGACTGTCTGGTGTACCTGCTGAACAGAGAGCAGCACACGGTCGGCCAGGAGACTCCATCAGCTCGCCCCAACATCTGCCTGTTCTCTCCTGACATCCTGCCTCTCCACTGCCGCTTGCGCAGAGTCCCTGCACCCCGTCGCCATGCCAACAACAACAAGGGTGATGAGCTGGCGGAGAACCAGCGCTCCTGTGTTGCCGTTGAGCCTGTCCTCCACGCCACCGTCCTGGTGAACTTTTCCCGCTGCGAGCGTTCCACCACGCTGCGACACGGTGACCTCCTCTCATTCGGATCGCATTACATCTTCCTGTACAAGGACCCTACGGGCGCTAAGCCTCTGCCTGCTCAGACCTTGGCACGGCTTCGCACCCTGGGACAGCTTTACGATGCAGGCATGGAGGAGGGAGAGGGTGGGGCCCAGACTTGTAAGATGTGTGGTTCTGTGCTGAAGGACAGAGCAGCGAATGTGTCGAGCACTCCGGCGGTCAGACGCAGCTTCAAGCCTCACCTGGTGAAACCCCGCAGCGTGGGGACAACAGCAGGAGGACCCCCCCTTAGTTTGTCCGGAGTGGAAGGAGGCGGAGGAGGAGGTGGAGGAGGAGGAGGAGGAGGAGGAGGAAGAGGTCAGAAAAGGAGGCTACAACTGGAGTTTGACCAGACTCATGAAGACCAGCTGTTGAGCAGGATCGTGTCTCTCATCGAACCTGGAGGTGAGTGCTCTGATTTACAGGAGAATATAGAAAATTAAACCTTTTCTCAAATCACAATAAAATGATGTTCTCACCTCTGGTAGATCTCATCATGTAGATAATTTGGGTTTTATTTGCTCAAATATTTTAGACGTCTTTTTCCAACATTCCGGCTACAACAGCAGTTAAGAGGAGGCGCATTGTTCATATGTGAAAGAACATCCAGACCCAGTTATCTGCTCATTTTCCGGGTTTCATGTCAGAAAAGAAGGTTTAAAGCTTCTCTCTGCGATTGCACCTGTCACTAATTTACATTTTCTGTGTCCGGCTCAAAATCGTATTGTGGTGGTTTGTGCAAAATTTTAAATCTTGAACTATGACACGAGTGACAGAACAGCACAGTTAGGCTCAGCTACAACTGCTACTACTTGCTAACAAACATGGAGCTCCTCTGCGGAGGGAGAAATGAGGGCTGGAATGAAGAAGTCAGGTTCTATTATACTCAGGCACAATTCATCGCACAGGAACACAGGAATGGTCAAACACTAAGTATTGAAAAGAAAGAGGGAGATGAGGAGAAATGGTTAAAAGTCATTAGTCAATGTCTGTTATAGTGAGAGTAAGATTCTCATTTCATTTATCAACTTTGACTCTGTTGTCAAAAGGTAAAGATGTTAAACACTGAATATAGAATCAGTCCATTTAAGAATCACAGCCCTCAACGTCAACTGTGTCGTAGGGAGTGTTTAGAGAATAGTGTCAGTAAAAACACTCTGAGCTGCAAGACAAGACCAAAGCCACCAAAGGTAAATTACAAAACATGCTTTTTTTTTTCCCGAACTGGGATCAACCGAGTTTCAAAACTTTTGTCTTTCTCTCAGGAGACGACCACAAGCTGACGCCAGCCTACCTGCTGTGTCTGTGCATACAACACTCTGCCTCAACCTTCCCTCCCGGCAGTT